CCAGGGGAGACTGCAAATTGCTGAGCCAGCCCAGGCACTTCCTCCCCAGCCTTCAGGTCCCCACATAGGCTGAGATTTCCGCTCTGATAGCTCTCCGACGACAAGCAGAAAACCTAATTTTCTTGGTGCCTCCTCCTTTGCGGGTCGAACACCTGGTTTCTAGAGTGTCCAGGCAACACTTCTCACTTGGTAGAGGAAGTGGTGAGGTTTTGCCGAGGTCCAAGTGGACCCAAAGATCTCACCCAGAGCCCCATAGACCCTGAAATTGAGCTCAGGAAAAGGACCAAAGTCTAGAATGACTAGTCACTTTCTGACTTTTTCCTTTCTTTTTTTTTGAGACAGATTCTCACTCTGTCACCCAGGCTGGAGTGCGGCGGTGCGATCTTGGCTCACTGCAATCCCTGCCTCCTGGGTTCAAGCCATTCTCCTGCCTCAGCCTCCTCACTAGTTGGGATTACAGGCACGTGCCACCATGCCCAGCTAATTTTTGTATTTTTAGTAGAGACAGGGTTTCACCCATGTTGGACAGGAAGGTCTCAATCTCTTGACTTCGTGATCCGCCTGCCTCAGCCTCCCAAAGTGCTGGGATTACAGGTGTGAGCCACTGAGCCCAGCCCACTTTCTGACTTTCTGTGTATTCCCGGCTCAATGCTCCATCACCCTGTGTTAGAATTGTCTGGTTTCGGCCGGGCACCGTGGCCCATGCCTGCAGTCGCAGCATTTTGGGAGGCTGAGGCGGGTGGATCGCCTGAGGTCAGGAGTTCGAGACCAGCCTGGTCAACATTGTGAAACCCCTGTCTCCAGTAAGAATATGAAAATTAGCCAGATGTGGTGGCTTGTGCCTGTAATCCCAGCTACTTGGGAGGCTGAGGCAGGAGAATGCCTTGAAGCCAGGAGGCAGAAGTTGCAGTGAGCGGAGATCTTGCCAGTGCACTCTAGCCTGGGTGAGAGAGTGAGACTCTGTCTAAATAAATAAATAAAAATAATTGTCTGGTTTCTACCCTGTCTACTCCATCAGACTGTCAGGCTTGTACAGCAGCAACCAATAAGGCAACACCAGGCTTAGCACAGACATGCACACACATGTTGCATGCCTATATGCAGCATTAATGTGTTGATTTTTTTTTAATGGGGTCTTACTATATTGCCCAGGCTGGTCTCAAATTCCTGGCCTCAAGCAGTCCTCCCACCTCTGCCTTCCAAAATGCTAGGATTTTAGTTGTGAGTCATCGTGTTTGGCCTGTTGATTCTTGATTTTTTTTTTTTTTTTTTTTTCAGACAGTGTCTTGCTGTGTCACCTAGGCTGGAGTGCAGCGGTATGATTTCAGCTAACTGCAACCTCCACTTCCCAAGCTCAAGTGAACCTCCCACTTCAGCCTCTTGAGTAGCAGGAACTACAGGCGCACACCACCATGCTTGGCTAATGGTTAATTTTTTGTTTTCTTCTTTCGTAGAGATGAGGTCTCACTATATTGCACAGGCTCATCTCACACTCCTGAGCACAACTGGTCTTCCCACCTTGGCTTCTCAAAGTGCTGGGATTACAGGCATGAGCCACTATGCATGACTGATTTTTAAAATTTTTAAATATATTTTTTGAGACGGGAGTTTCACTCTGTTGCCCAGGCTGGAGTGTAGTGGCACGATCTTGGCTCACTGCAACCTCTGCCTCCCAGGTTTAAGTGATTCTCCTGCCTCAGCCTCCTGAGTAGTTGGGACTACAGGTGTGCACCACTGTGCCCAGCTAATTTTTTTATTTTTAGTAGAGACCTGGTTTCACCATGTTGGCCAGGCTGGTCTGGAACTTCTGACCTCAGGATCCACCTACCTTGGCCTCCCAATAATTTTTGTATTTTTAATAGAGATGGGGTTTCACCATATTGATCAGGCTTGTCTCGCACTGCTGACCTCAGGTGACCCACTCACCTTGATCTCTTTGTACATTTTTTTTGAATTAGTAATTAGTAATAGAAGCTAATGATTTCAAACAGCTGGCCAGGGCTCATGCCTATAATCTCAGCACTTTGTGAAGCAGAGGCTGGCGGATCACCTGAGGTCAGGATTTTGAGACCAGCCTGGCCAATATGATGAAATCCCATCTTTACCAAAAATACAAAAAATTCGCTGGGCGTGGTGGCGAATTTTTCCTGTAATCCCAGCTACTCAGGAGGCTGAGGCAGGAGAATCACTTGAACCTGGGAGGGGGAGGTTGCAGTGAGCCGAGATCGTGCCACTGCATGTCACCCTGGGCAACAGAGTGAGACTCCATCTAAAAAAAAAAAAAAAAAAAAAAATCAAACAGCCCTCCAGGGTATACCATGAAAAGCTATCCCTTCTTACCTCATTTCCCTGCACCCTGGTTCCTCTCCCTAAGAGTAACCACTGTGATTAGGGTCTGGTGCCTTCTCCCGGAGATGGCCCACGTGCCACAGGCAAATGTGTGTATGTTTATACAGTTCTTATTAATAGCCCCAGAAATGCAATGCATACTGGTCTACACTGTACTTTTTCAACTTAATATGTTGAAGACCATTTCCCATCAGTACACACAAGACTACTCCATTTATTGGTTATTTATTTATTTATTTGAGACGGAGTGTTGCTCTGTTGCCCAGGCTGCAGTGCAATGGCGGGATCTCAGCCCACTGCAACCTCTACCTCCAGGGATCAAGCAGTTCTCCTGCCTCAGCCTCCCAAGTCGCTGGGACTCCAGGCACATGCTACCATTCCCGGCTAATTTTTGTACTTTTAGTAGAGATGTGGTTTGTCATGTTGGCCAGCCTGGTGTCGAACTCCTGACCTCAGGTGAGCCACCTGTCTTGGCCTCCCAAAGTGCTGGGATTAAAGGCGTGAGCCATCACACCTGGCCTCTTTATTTTTATTTTATTTTTTGAGACGGAGTTTTGCTCTTGTTGCCCAGGTTGAAGTGCAATGGGGCCATCTTGGCTCACTGCAACCTCCACCTCCCAGTTTCAAGCGATTCTGCTAATTCAGCCTCCTGAGTAGCTGGGATTACAGGCGCCCACCACCACGTCTAGTAATACTTTGTATTTTTAGTAGAGATGGGGTTTTGCCATATTGGCCAGGCTGTTCTCAAACTCCTGACCTCAAGTGATCCACCCACCTCAGAGTCCCAGAGTGCTGGGATTACAGGTGTGAGCCACCGTGTCCAGCCAATTTTTGTATTTTTTTTGTAGAGATGGGGTTTCACCATGTTGCCCAGGCTGATCTAGAACTAATGGGCTCAAGCAATCCACCCGCCTTGGCCTCCCAAAGTGTTGGGATTACAGTCATGAGCCACTGTGCCTGGCCACCATGCCTGGCCAGATTATAACATATGATGTGTATGTTTTCATAAACGGCCCTCTCATAAAATGCCATGTCTCCCACCTGAACATAAGGTCACTGGGTCAGGGAGTTTTTCTTTTTTCTCTGTTGATCACTGCTGTTCCCAGTAGGTGCATCAGAAATATTTGTTGCCAGGCAGGGTGGCTCATGCCTGTAATCCCAGCACTTTGGGAGGCCAAGATGGGCGGATTGCTTGAGGTCAGGAGTTCGAGACCTGCCTGGCCAACATGGCAAAACCTTGTCTTTACTAAAAACACAAAGCAAAAACAAAAACAAAAAAGAACACCAGCCAGGTGTGGTAGCATGTGCCTGTATTCCCAGCTACTCAGGAGGCTGAGGTGCAAGAATCCCTTGAACCTGGGAGGCGGAGGTTGCAGTGAGCCGAGATTGCACCACTGCACTCCACCCTGGGGGGAGACCATGTGAGACTCTGCCTCAAACAAACAAACCAAAAGGTTTGTGAGGGAATGAGGGGCTCCCCTATCCTGTTGTCGAGCTGCTGGTTGTACACAAACATCTTTCAATGAAGGTGTATATCATTTGTGCAGGCAAGCACACAGAAATACTCAGGAAAGAGTGAAAATTGGAAAACTGAATAGAAGACTGGGCCCAATGCTGGAAGGCAGGAACAAACGGGGCCTTGCTGGTTCCCCCTATCAGAGGGGACAGCGATCTACAGAGGCAGGATAGACAGTGGAGTATCCCCAGTTCCCTAAGGGAGAGAGGGCAGCAGCTGAATTCTGGAGACTTATCAAGGCAGAGATCCGCTGGGCGCAGTGGCTCACGCCTGTCATTCCAGCTCTTTGGGAGGGCGAGGCAGGAGGACTGCTTGAACTCAACAGCTCAAGACTAGCCTGGGCAACATAGCAAGCCCCCATCTCTACAAAAAATTTCAAAAAATTAGCCAGACATGGTGGCACATCTGTAGTCCCTGCTACTCTGGAGGCTGAGGCAGGAGGTTGAGGCTCCGGTGAGCTATGATTGCACCACCGCACTCTGGCCTGGATGACAGAGCAAGACTCTGTCTCAAAAAAAGAAAAGAAAAAGGGAGAGACCAATTTTGTCTTTGGGACAGGGTGTTGCACTTAATAGGAATTTCATTATTTGTTGGTTGGACATACAGTAGGCACTTTTTCTTTTCTTTTCTTTTCTTTTTTTGAGGTGAAGTTTTGCTCTTGTTGCCCAGGCTGGAGTGCAATGGCCCGATCTTGGCTCCTGGCAACCTCCACCTCCTGGGTTTAAGCGATTCTCCTGCCTCAGCCTCCAAAGTAGCTGGAATTACAGGCATGTGCCACCATGCTTAGCTAATTTTTGACGGGGTTTCTCCATGTTGGCTAGGCTGGTTTCGAACTCCCAACCTCAAATGACAGACCCACCTCAGCCTCCCAAAATGCTGGCATTACAGGCATGAGCCACCCAGCTGGGCCCACATTAGGTGCTTAATGACTCATTGCAGAGATGACACCTAGTAGGTACTTCCAAGGCTCTTTGTCGAGTAAATAAAGGTAACCTCGTGTTTTCTTCCAAGTCCAGAGTCCCAGGGGTGAGCCCAGAGTGAATCTAGAGTTGAAGATAGTTGTTTCAGGTTGAGGCCACCTGATCAGGAACACTGTGATGTCACTAGGCCAGCGTTACGTCTCGCGCGGACCGGTTCTCACGGGTGGGGGCTGGGAGGGGCAGACTGAGAGGTGGGGGGGCGGACAAAGGGGCCCTCGGTGCAGCTCCTGCCAGTCCCCGCGTGCGCCCGGCCCGGCCGGCAGGCCACATCTGGAATTCATTGCAGCCGCAGCCGGAAAGAGGAGAGGAGGGCGGGGCGAGCGGGGGGCAGAAGCGGTGGCTTTCCCCGCCCCCACTTCTGTCCCTGGTCCCTGCCCCGGGACGCTGCCGAGCCCGGCGGGCAGTCCCAGCCCCAGCCGCGGCCGCCCCAGGGACGCAGACGCCAAGGCCCCTCCGGCCAGGGCAGGGAGCCGGGTCGGCCTTGCCAGGTGAGCGCGCGTGGGGAGGAGGAGGCAGAAAGGGCCCCGGTCCCCCCTGAAGTCTCGGGATCCGAGCTGCGGGGCCCGATCTGGGGGAGTGGGGCGCGCACGCGCCGCGCGGGTTCCTGCTGCACGGAGCGGGTGGTCACGGTGCGCCCTCTCCACGACTCCCGGCAGCCCCCACTGTCTCGGCCGCGAACCCCCAGATTCCGCTCCCCGCCTTTCTCAGAGGCAGGAAGTTGGCGCCGGGGAGAAGGCAGAATCCGAGCGCTTTCGACTGGAGTCTTTGGGAGGCAGGACGCTGTGCCCGGCGACTAGGGTTTTGGGGAGTGTGTTTGGGGGAGGGGTGCAGCACCCCTCCTGGCTGACTCCGGCTATTGCGAGGGCAAAAGGAGGGGCGTGCTGAGGAGCCTCCAAGCCAAGGGGCGGGACCCCCGGGGAGGGCGGTCGCACTTCGGGCTTTCTGCCTCGGTTTCCCCAAGTTGTTTGCCATCCCCAGACTCCCGCGGGGGCGTGGCTTTCTTTTGGAAGGAAAAGGAAAGTCACCGTGTGGCTCAGACGCCTACTATTTCAATTCCAGCTCAGGGATGGGGCGTGGGTGAAGGGTGCGTGGGGCGGACCCCGCGTGTCCCCGGGCCCGGCAGAGAGTCGGAACTCGCCCCTTTCTCCGGCACGGGTTGACTCACCCGGGGATTTCCACCCCCTCCTCTGTCTCTGCCCTTGTCTGATGCTCCACGCGCTGAGCCCACGGTCTCCCGCGTGGGGCCACTCGGGCAGGCGCGTAACGCGGGGTGCAGCTGCTGCTGGGATCTGGTCCCCCACCCCTAGTCTTCCCAGAATCTCGAGGCGGGACCCCTGGAGGGACGGAGAGGAATCCCTCCAGTCCAACTTGGAGACGTGGGGGTCCCGCGCGTGTGGCGGTCTGGGGTCGGTGGGGAGAGGAGGCGTGGCTCCAGCGCGAGCGAGTGTGGATACCGCGCATTCCTAGGCCAGATAAGGAGGCCGAGAGTGCGGGCCAGCGCGGGGGCGGGTCCTGCTGTCGTCTCCATGGAGACACGCTGGGCTTTGCCTGGTTGTTGTTGGTGGTGGTGGTGGGGGGCGCTGCCCAGGGACTAGAGGTGTCCAGGCTCCTTTGTTGTTGTTTGGGTCTGGGCTGAGCTTAGGAGCTTCCACCCTTGGGAACCCACTAGGGGTCTCCTTTGTTGGTTGGTTCATTCAATCATTCATTCATTTGCCCATTCCACACGTTTTCTGAGGGCTTTCTTTGTGCCAGGCATCCCTGTAGGAGCTGATAACGGACTTGCTTCTTGGCCTTCTGCATTGACATTCTAGGTGCAAGGCCAGACAGAAAAGGAGAAATACCATGATAGTCTCTGATAGTGGCAAGTGCTGTGCAGATACAAAATTCCGCGGTTAGGAAAGGCTGCGAGACGGCTGCGGTAGACTGGCAGTCAGGGGAGTCCCCTCTGAGGAAGTGACCTTTAAATAGACACCTGAAAGATGGGGAGACAGTCATTCAAAGATTTGGGGAACGGTCAGGGACGGTGGCTCACACCTGTTTCAGAGGCCGAGGCAGGTGAATCACCTGAGATCAGGCATTCCAGACCAGCCTGGTCAACGTGGTAAAACACTCTCTCTACTAAAAATACTAGCTGGGTGTGGTGGTGGGCACCTACAATCCCAGTTACTTGAGAGGCTGAGGCAGGAGAATAGCTTGAACTCAGGAGGCAGAAGTTGCAGTGAGCTGAGATCACACCACTGCACTACAGCCTGGCCAACAGAGTGAGACTATATCTCAAAACAACAACAACAACAAAAAACAAAACAAAAGCTCTGGGGAGGGCCGTGCGAGGTGGCTCATGCCTGTAATCTCAGCACTTTGGGAGGCCAAGGTGGGCGAATCAAGAGATAAGGAGTTTAAGACCAGCCTGGCCAACATGGTGAAACCCTGTCTCTACTAAACATGCAAAAGTTAGCCAGGCGTGGTGGTGCGTGCCTGTAATCCCAGCTACTCAGGAGGCTGAGGCAGGAGAATTGCTTGAACCCGGGAGGCAGAGGTTGCAGTGAGCCAAGACTGTGTCATTGTACTCCATGCTGGGCAACAGAGAGAGACTCTGTCTCAAAAAAAAAAAGGTTTTGGGGAAGGGCGAGCCCCAAGAACAGCAAGGGCATGCCCCAAGAACAGCAAGGGCAAAGGCTTAGAGGTAGGAGTGGGGTGGCATGGAGGAAGCTTCAAGTGGTTGGAGTGGAATGGCTCTGGGGGAGAGTGGGAGGAGGCTGAGTGGGAGGAGGCTTTGTGGGCACAGGCCATGCTACTTGGGGTATAGGGAGCCATGGAAGAATTTGGAGTCATGGAGTGACATGGAGTTACAAGTTTAAAAGCTCCCCATGGCTGCTTGGTAGGGAACGGCAGGGTAAGGGATCCTGACAGCCACAGGGAAACCAAAAGGTAGGGTGGCTGCCGGGCGCGGTGGCTCACACCTGTAATCCCAGCACTTGGGGAGGCTGAGATGGGCGGGTCACCTGAGATTGGGAGCTCGAGATCAGCCTGACCAACATGGAGAAACTTGTCTCTATTAAAAATACAAAATTAGCCTGGTGTGGTGGCACATGCAAAAATCGCCTGAACCTGGGAGGCAGAGATTGCTGTGAGCCGAGATGGCGCCACTGTACTCCAGCCTGGGCGACAGAGCGAAACTCCTTCTCTGGGGGACCGGGGGAAACTGTAACCACAGGGCCTGCCTCTCTGGAACTGCGAGGGGGTGGAGAGGAGCTCAGAAGCCACTGAGGCTTCTTCTAGCCTTCCCCTCTCCTAATCTCCAGCCAAACACTCGTCTGAGTCTCTCTCTCTTCCCTTCCTTCCAAAGCCCGTCGCTTGTCCCTCCTGTTCCATTTGAGTCAGGATGGCCTTGGTGAAGGTGACCAGGAGATAGGCTCTGTCTCCTTCTCAAAACCTGGTAGTCTGACACAGGGAAGGGATACAGGCCAGGCCACCATCCACCTAGAGGGTGACTCTTCTGCCAGCTCCAACCTCAGCGCCTGCTTCCTCTTTCTGGGAAGTGTCAACCGCCTAAGTACTTACCTCAGTCAAGTCCTAGTGGTTAAAATGAGGCTTGGATAGAATGTGGACCTCAGTTTCCCCTTCTCTAGGAGAGCTGCCTCTCCCTCTGTGGATGCCATTTAGCCTCCTGGGGCTGCATAAAGTGAGAGTGCAGCGCCCCCAGTTTTCCTCTCAGGGAAGACAGACTTTTTGGTCAGTCCCTGGGGTGCAAGAGCTGAACACATTTTATTTGTTTTGAGACAGAGTCCGGCTCTGTTGCCCAGGCTGGAGTGCAGTGGCAAGATCTCAGCTCACTGCAACCTCTGCCACTCGGCTTCAAGCAATTATCCTGCCTCCCGAGTAGCTGGGATTACAGACGTGCACCACCATGCCTGGCTTATTATTATTATTTTGTATTTTTAGTAGAGAGGGGGTGTTTCACCATGTTAGCCAGGCTGGTCTCGAATTCATGACCTCAGGTGATCTGCCCACCTTGGCATCCCAGAGTGCTGGGATTACAGCCGTGAGCCACCGCGTCCGGCCTGAATACATTTCTTATTTCTCCAGGAAGCCACAGTAAATCTTTTGGTGAGCGGCAGAGGCGGCGGCTGCACTGGCGAGTGTGCTTCCCAGGCCTGCAAAGGGACCTTGTTATTACTTATGAACTCCAAGAGGGGCTCAGCCCGCCAGGGCAGCCTGGGGGCGTCTGGGCCGGGTGACCCAGCGGTCAGACCCAGTTCAAACTGCCTCTAGGGACGTCCACACAGCATTAACTCTATCCTTGGAAAGCGCCGAGCTCCCGTTGCCTTTAAAGGACCCATCAGTAGGGCTGGCCGTAGAGCGCCCTCAACTGGACCAATCAGAGGCCGAAGATGGAAAGCGCGGGCCAATAGGCAAATCGTTCAGTGTCCTGGGATTGAAAATGAGCCAATCAGGGCGCCGGCTGTTTCCGGTCCGACGGCCGCAGCTGATCTGGCTGCAGTCTGGGCCCAAGCCTGCCTGGGACTGGCTGCAGCGTGCAGAGGGCATCAAGATGCCCGGGGCTCCGTCCAGCAAGGGAACAAGGGGCCTCTGTGTGGCGATCTGGGAGGGGCAGCAGTCCCCGGGGACGTGCACAAGCTCTTGTCTGTTCCCAAACTAGGACGGATGTCCCTCCGCCCTTGGGAGAGCAGCTGCCTCTGTCCAGCCAGGGGCCAGAATGCCCCTTGGAGGGGGCGGCCAGGGACTGCAATGGCTGGGTGACTCCGGAAGCCCTCATCACTCCTGGGCTCAGAACTGGCCTAACCAGAATTTTCTGGAAGGGTGCACATACTCCTTGCCAGATGTGTTTCTAGGGACCTGGGGAGGACTCCCCCTATTCTCTCCGCTCCCTGCCATTTAGCTAAGGGCTGGAACTTCCTCCCTCTCCCTTCATGAAAGGCATACACTGCACCGGCTCTTCTGACACCCCCCAACCCTACCCCCAAGCTGGGGGAAGGCCATGGTGTCTGCCTCTCATCCTCTCTGCCCAAAAGTGCCTCTTCCCGCCCTTTCCCCCCTGCCCCCACAGCTCAGTTTTCCTTGGTGGGGGTGATTCAGGCTTTCATGGAACAAATGTCTTACCCCCTCCCAGCGAGGCTGCACGCCCCTTCAGGGCTCACATGACTTCAGCAAATCTGCCCCATCCTCCCAGCCAGGACGTCCCAGTTTGGGTCTCTCCCATCTTAACTCTCCCCTCCTCACCCCCCCATCAGGCCTTCCTCACACCGGATGTGACTGCAGAGTGAGGACTCCACCCTCTTTGTTCGGGAGGCCTCACATCTGGATTTCATCCTGGCTGGGGAGGGGGTGCCAGGGCTCTGCCCATCCCCATGGGGCCTTCTGTCCCAGGGCAGAGCAAGATGGTGCTGATGAGAACAGGCTGTTGGAGATTGCGCCTGGTTGGCTTACATCCCTTCTCTTCCCAAAGGATTGGAGGGAAGAGGGGAACTAATAACATTAGCCAGTATTTGTTGAGTGCTTACTGTGAGCTAAACGTGCCTCATGCGTCATTTAAAAGGATTTTCCCAACACCCCACAAAATGGGCTTTCTTCTCTCCATTGCACAGATGAGGACATTCAGGCTGACACAGCGTCTAGGGACTTGGCCAGTGTTTCAGAGGTGAAATGGGAGCACACTCTGGATTGCCTCCAAGGTCTATGTCCTTGAAGATGGTGTGACCTCTGGGATGTTTGAACCTCAGGGCCGCCCTGGTGTCTCCCCAAGACCTTATCTTGGGAGCACCCGTGGCTTCAAGGCTTAGACTCAGCCTGAAATCCAGGGTTAGTGGGTGGTAACGAATGAGCAGGGGTAGGAGCTATCAGTGGTGACCCAGGTCAGCATGAGGCCCCAGGTGCCTGTGTGTTCCAGAAAAGAGATCATCCAGGCCCTACCTAAGGCTTGCTTTCTGGGTAGCTGGGCAAGGTTTCTGGAAGTCCACATATTTTTCTTTTATCTTTATTTTTTTTTTGAAACAGAGTTTTACTCTTGTTTCCCAGGCCGCAGTGCAATGGTGTGATCTCGGCTCACTGCAACCTCTACCTCCTGGGTTCAAGCAATTCTCCTGCCTCAGCCTCCCAAGTAGCTGGAATTACAGGCATGCGCCACCATGCCCAGCTAATTTTTGTATTTTTAGTAGAGACTGGGTTTCGCCATGTTGGCCAGGCTGATCTCGAACTCCTGACCTTATGATCCACCCGCCTTGGGCTCCTAAAGCGCTGGAATTACAGGCGTGAGCCGCCGCGCCCGGCCCCACATTATATTTTTCACGCAATTTGGGGGAACTTCTGTTCCTTTGAAAGCATGTAGCTACCCAGGAGGCTGAGGCGGGAGGAGGATCACTTGAGCCCAGGAGTTGAGTCAACTGTGAGCTATGATCATGCCACTGCACTCCAGCTTGGGTGACAGAGAAAGACCCTATCTCTAGAAAATAATAATGAAAATTAAAATAGGCAAGGCGTCATGGCTCATGCCTGTAATCTCATTGCTTTGAGAAGCCAAAGAGAATTGCCCAAGGCCAGGGGTTCAGGACCAGCCTGGACAACACAGCGAGACCCAATCACTAAAAAAACAAAAATCAGCCAGGTGTGGTGGCATGTGCTTGTGGCTGAAGCTGAAGTGGGAGGCTGAGGTGAGAGGATCATTTGAGCCCAGGAGTTTATGTCTGCAGGTAGCTATGACTGTGCCACAGCACTCCAGCCTCAATGACAGAGCAAGACCTTGTCTTGAAAAAATAGATAAATAGAATAAATAAGAAAGCGTGTAGCCTAGGGCTTACCAAGGCTGCAGAGCCAGTCTTTCTGGCCCTGACGCCGGTTAGATTTGAGACTTTAGGAAAGTGAATGAACTTCTCTTGATTTCTTCTCTGTAAGTGGGGATGGTTATGATTCTGAACTCCTGTGGCCATGCCACGAGGATTAACAGAATGGCAAATGGAGTCTCAGCCCATCCCAGGCCAGAGCCCAGGGACAGCCACAACTCTGACTGTCTGTCTGTCTTCTCTGCAGTTCTGACAGCCCCATGGCCCCAGCGGGCCTCTGAGCCCCACCATGGGCAGCTTGTACTCGGAGTACCTGAACCCCAACAAGGTCCAGGAACACTATAATTATACCAAGGAGACGCTGGAAACGCAGCAGACGAGCTCCCGCCAGGTGGCCTCGGCCTTCATCATCATCCTCTGTTGCGCCATCGTGGTGGAAAACCTGCTGGTGCTCATCGCAGTGGCCCGCAACAGCAAGTTCCACTCGGCCATGTACCTGTTCCTGGGGAACCTGGCCGCCTCTGATCTGCTGGCAGGCATGGCCTTCGTAGCCAATACCCTGCTCTCCGGCTCTGTCACACTGAGGCTGACGCCTGTGCAGTGGTTTGCCCGGGAGGGCTCCGCCTTCATCACGCTCTCTGCCTCCGTCTTCAGCCTCCTGGCCATCGCCATTGAGCGCCACGTGGCCATTGCCAAAGTCAAGCTGTACGGCAGTGACAAGAGCTGCCGCATGCTGCTGCTCATCGGGGCCTCGTGGCTCATCTCGCTGGTTCTCGGAGGCCTGCCCATCCTTGGCTGGAACTGCCTGGGCCACCTCGAGGCCTGCTCCACCGTCCTGCCTCTCTATGCCAAGCATTATGTGCTGTGCGTGGTGACCATCTTCTCCATCATTCTGTTGGCCATCGTGGCGCTGTATGTGCGCATCTACTGCGTGGTCCGCTCAAGCCACGCTGACGTGGCCGGCCCACAGACACTAGCCCTGCTCAAGACGGTCACCATTGTGCTGGGCGTCTTTATCGTCTGCTGGCTGCCCGCCTTCAGCATCCTCCTCCTGGACTATGCCTGTCCCATCCGCTCCTGCGCAATCCTCTACAAAGCCCACTACTTTTTCGCCTTTGCCACCCTGAATTCGCTGCTCAACCCTGTCATTTACACGTGGCGCAGCCGGGACCTTCGGCGGGAGGTGCTTCGGCCGCTGCAGTGCTGGCGGCGGGGGACGGGGGTGCAAGGACGCAGGCGGTCTGGGACCCCGGGCCACCGCCTCCTGCCACTCCGAAGCTCCAGCTCCCTGGAGAGAGGCATGCATATGCCCACATCGCCCACGTTTCTGGAGGGCAACACGGGGGTCTGAGGGTCAGGTGGAACAACCAGGCCAGGGCACAGAGCGGTTCACAGAGAGGCCACTGGGTGACCCCAGACAGAGACGAGGGGCTGCTGAGCCAGATGCCCCACCCCACGGACCTGGGTGATGTTACAAGTATTTCACACCTGGAAAGGCCAGATAAGGCACTGACTAGTCACATAGCAGTCGGGTCCTGAAGGCCAGTGTGGTGGCAAATGTGACTCCTTTAGAACTGGATCCTGGGGAGGCCAGGGCAGGGCACCTGTGAAGAGCCAGAGTGACGGCAGGTAGAATTTAGGGGAGCTCAAGGCAGGAGCACTTTACTACCTGGTACCAAGGATTTCTCCTTTCTTTTCTCCCTCCCTCCCTCCCTCCCTTCCTTCTCCTCCCTCCCTCCCTCCCTCCCTCTCTCCTTCTTTCTTATCTTGCTATGTTGCCCAGGCTGGAACTCAGCAGAGAGGTCTCAGCTCACTGCAACCTCTGCCTCCCGGGTTCAAGCGATTCTCCTGCCTCCGCTTCCCAAGTAGCTGGGATTACAGGCTCCCGCCACCATGCCCAGCAAACTTTTTTTGTATTTTTCATAGAGACAGGGTTTTACCATGTTGGCCAGGCTGGTCTCGAACTCCTGACCTCATGATCTGCCTGCCTTGGCCTCCCAAGGGCTGGGATTACAGGCGTGAGCCACCATGGTACCCCCATGCCTGGGGGCACAAAGAATGACCACGTTTTCCTTTCTGGCCCCCAGCCCTGCACTGATGTCTCCTCTTCGAATGTATCCCTCCTGCCACCTTCTCTGGGTCATTTCATGCAACTTCAGAACCACTGTCCCGAAGAGCGAGAGGCCTTCTCTCTGACCCTCCGGGGCCCAAATCCACAGCTTCCCCAAATTTCATCAGCTTCCATTTCGGACTTCTTCCCGTCTCTCTGAGTCTCGGAAACCACAGCTAGAAGTGGAACGGGGACGGCGCTGAGGCCCATTCCTCATTCTCACACTTCATTGGTCGATTGCACTATTTGGGGCACAGAGGAATCACCAGAGATGGGAAAATCAGCTTGAGGGTGCTGTGGAGGGCTTTGGGACTTTGACGTGGGGCGGGTGCAACTTGAGAAAATTCTAGGGGGTCAATGTTTGCACAGACATCCCCCTTTGAAAAACAGCCACCCTTCAGCTAGTCTCAGCTCCACACCTGCAGCTTCAGCTGAAGTACCCGGTCTCCCAAGCAAGACAGAGTGAAGTCTTGAGCCTGAGCCCCTCTGTGTCTTCTTTCAAGAGTTTTTTTTGGGGGGAAAGTTTCAAGATTTTTGTTTTGTTTTGTTTATTTGAGACAGAATCTCACTGTTACCCAGGCTGGAGTGTAATGGCACGATCTCAGCTCACTGCAACCTCTGCCTCCCAGGTTCAAGCAATTCTCCTGCCTCAACCTCCTGAATAGCTGGGACTACAGGCACCTGTCACCACACCTGGCTGATTTTTGTATTTTTAGTAGAGACGGGGTTTCACTATGTTGGCCAGGCTGGTCTCAGACTCCTGACCTCAAATGATCTGCCCGCCTCAGCCTCCCAAAGTGCTGGGATTACAGGCATTAGCCACCACGCCCAACCTTCTTCTTTCAAGTTATATTGAATGGAGCATGGGAGTGGTGGTGGCTAGGGACATTTCCTGGGGACGTTCTCCCCTAATCTGCCCCAGAAGAACTTCGCTAAACCCTGTGGATAATGGAAGGTTTGTTACGGTACAAACGTGTATTTATGTGTCTGTGTGTGTGCGTAGGTGTGATGTTTGACCCCCTCTCCCCATCATGTTTCCCCTGGAATGAATGCTGTTGGGTCTTCTCAAGTTCGTGTTGAAGCTGCCAAAGTCAGGGGGGGATCTGGTCCTGCCCATCCCCCTATGGGAGAGCTGGGGTGCAGCTCACCTTGGGGGAAGAAAACCTCATGCCTCAAAGTAATTTCTTGTGAATGCAAAGGCTGGGGGAGCAGGTCTTTGGGGGGCAAGGAGCCAGTCAGGGGCTTGTCTCCTCTCATAGAGCTCCCCAGATGCACCCCCGAACCCCAATGCCTGAGAACCAGATCTAGGCTAATAAACGGTTCAGTTTCTCTTTCTGGTGGTTGGTGCGTCTTTTCAGGCTTAAGGGAACAGTTTCTCCCAGGAGTGCCCCATGGCTGGGCTGGATGGAATGGGAAGGGGGTGGCTGCCTGGGTAACTCATTCTTTGCCAACCTTCCCTTTCTGTGCCCCTGACACCCTTAACCTGGCCTGAGCCAGGAGAAAACAGGTCAACCGGGATCCTTCCCAGGGGCTGCTCTCTTGCCCCTCCCAGGAATTAACTAGACCTGGGATCTCCCTGCTTTCTCTGAAAGAGACAGGCTGGCTGGAGGTGGGAGGCTCCTTCTCCCTCCCAATTTTATGTATCTACTAGGGGAGCTGCAGAGATGGTTTGAGTGGGATACAAACCATCCATATACCCACCCTGGGACTCAGTGTTCACCAAGCACTTCCTGGGCATGAAGACCTGACTGCTCAGGAGTGGAAGTTATTATAAACTCTTACGGAGGTGTGAGTTCAGAGACATCAAGCAAACTGCTCAGAGTCACACAGCGCTAACTGGGGAAACAGCTGTCTGGATTTGAACCCAAGCAGGCTGACTCCAGACCACACTAGACCCACCACTGGGCAATTGAGAGTTGCTAGAGAGAGGCAACTCAGCCAAGTGTGGTGGCTCATGCCTATTATCCCAGCACTTTGGGAGGCTGAAGTGGGCGAATCACTTTAGGTCAGGAGTTTGAAACCAGCCTGGCCAACATGGTGAAACCTCGTCTCTGCAAAAAATACAAAAATTAGCTGGGTGTGGTGGTGGGCACCTGTAGTCCCAGCTACTTGGGAGACTGAGCAGGAGAATCTCTTGAACCCGGGAGGTTGAGGTTGAGGTTGCAGTGAGTTGGGATTGCACCACTGCACTCCAGTCTGGGTGAAAGAGCCAGACTCTGCCTCAAAAAAAAAAAAAAAAAAAAAAAAAAGGGAGAGAAAGAGAGGCCACTCAGCCCCCTCTTTGCAATGGAAGGAGGAGCCATGAGGTTCATCAGGAACCAGAAGCCAAGATGGGATGCCGCTGGGGCTGGGTCCCTCAGTGGCTCCCTGTACTCTTCTGTCTGCAGGCAGATGGCTCAGTGGCTCCTTTCCTTTGAAGACAGGTCTGGAGCTTTTTTTTTTTTTTTTTGAGACAAGGTCTTGCTCTGTCACTAGGCTGTCGTGCAGTTGGTGCCATCATGGCTTACTCAGCCTCTGAAGTAGCTGGGACCACAGACAGGCACCACCAGGCCTGGCTAATTTTTGTGTATATATTTTTGTTTTGTTTTGTTTGTTTGTTTGTTTGTTTTTTGTAGCAAGGGGGGGGTCTCTCTATGTTTCCCAGGCTGGTCTCGAACTCCTGGGCTCAAGCGATCCTCCCACCTCCACCTTGGTCTCCCAGAATGCTGGGATTTCAGGCATGAACCCTTTGATGGAGGACTCGGCCCCCAAGCTGGAGCCCTACACAGCAACACCAGCTCAAAGGCCAGGACAGCCAGTGGGAGAGAAGGCAGATGGCAGAGGCTGAGGGCCTGCAACCCCCATTGGAATTCCCCTTCTCTAGCAGTTGAGAAAACAACCTCTGTTTGGAAACCTGAACCCTTGATGGGATGGGGGGTGGGGTGGGGGAAAGAGGCACAGGCCAGGTCAGAGCCAGTAGATTTTCCCCAAGTACCCACAGGCTTCTCCATTTCTGCCTTCAGGACTCTGCTCAAATGCCACCTCCTCAGAGAGGTCCTCCCTAGCCACCCCCTCTTATCGCCTGGTGGTATAGTATTGGGTTGGTGCAAAAGTCATTGCTATTTTTGCCGTTAAAAGTAATGGCAAAAACCAGTAACTTTTTTTTTTTTTGAGACAGGGTTTCACTCCTATCGCCCAGGCTGGAGTGCAATGGTGCCATCTCAGCTCACCACAACTTCCACCTCCCAGGTTCAAGTGCTTCTGCCTCAGCCTCCCGAACAGCTAGGATTAAAGGTGCCTGCCACCACTCCTGGTTATTTTTATATTTTTAGTAGAAATGAGGTTTCTCCATGTTGATCAGGTTGGTCTCGAACTCCGACCTCAGGTGATCTGCCTGCCTCAGCCTCCCAGAGTGCCGGGATTACAGGCATGAGCCACCACACCCGGAGAAAGAACCAGTCACTTTTAATGGCAAAAACAACAATGACTTTAGCACTAACCTAATATAAATCAATTTATCTGTCTCTACCTTCATTAAAATACAGGCACCGTGAAGATAGGACTGCACCTGCCTTATTTACTAATGGATCTCTAGCATTTTTTATTTTTAAGACAAGGTCTCACTCTGTTACCCAGGCTGGAGTGCAGTGGTGCAATCACAGCTCACTACAGCTTCATCCTTCTGGGCTCAGGTGATCCTTCCACCTCAGCCTTCCTAGTAGCTGGGACTATAGGCTTGCTAATTTTCTTTTTTTGTAGACACAGGGTTCTGCTGTGTTGCCCAGGCTGGTCTTGAACTCCTGGGCTTAAGAGATCCGCCCACCTCAACCTCGCATCGTGCTGAGATTAGAGATTGAGGTGTTAGCCGCCACCTTTCCTGGCTATCTATAGCTCTCTCACATCTTTTTTTTTTTTTTTTTTTGGATACAGGGTCGGGTTCTGTCACCCAGACTGGAGAGCAGTGGCGCAATCCCAACTCACTGCAGCCTTAGCGTCCTGGGCTCAAGCCATCCTCCCACCTCAGCCTCCCAAGTAGGTGGAACTATAGGCAGGTGCCAACACTCTGGGCTACTTTTTTGTTTTTTTTGAGATGGGCTCTCACTCGGTCGTCGAGGCTGGAGTGCAGTGGCGCAATCTTGGGTCACTGCAAACTCCACCTCTCAGGTTGAAGTGATTCTCCTCCCTCAGCCTCCCAGTAGCTGGGACTAAGGTGCATGCCACCACGACCAGCTCATTTTTGTATTTTTAGTAGAGATGGGGTTTCACCATATTGTCCAGGCTGGTCTCAAACTCCTGACTTTGTGATCTGTCCGCCTCCCAAAGTGCTGGGATTACAGGTATGAGTCACTGTGCCCAGCCACATTTTTTTTTTTTTTTTTTTTTTGAGACGGAGTCTTGCTCCGTCACCAGGTGCCAGGCTGGAATGCAGTGGCGCGATCTCGGCTCACCGCAACCTCTGCCTCCTGGGTTCAAGCAATTCTCCTGCCTCAGCCTCCTGAGTAGCTGGGACTACAGGTGTGTGCCACCATGCCCAGCTAATTGTTTTTTGTATTTTTAGTAGAGACAGGGTTTCACCATGTTGGCCAGTATGGTCTCTTGACCTCGTGATCCACTGGCCTCGGCCTCCCAAAGTGCTGAGATTACAGGCATGAGCTACAGCGCCCAGCCCCAGCCACTTTTTGTAATTTTTTGTAGCGACAGGGTTTCACCATATTGCTCAGGCTGGTCTCAGACTCCTGGCCTCAAGTGCTCTCCCACCTTAACCTCCCAGAGTGTTGTGATTACAGGCATGAGCCACCGCACCCAGCTGTCTCTAGCATCTTAAACATTACTTGGCAGGCCGGGCGCAGTGGCTCACGCCTGTAATCCCAGCACTCTGGGAGGCCGAGGCGGGTGGATCACGAGGTCAAGAGATTGAGACCATCCTGGTCAACAAGGTGAAACCCCGTCTCTAATAAAAATACAAAAATTAGCTGGGCATGGTGGCGCGTGCCTATAGTCCCAGCTACTCGGGAGGCTGAGGCAGGAGAATCGCTTGAACCCAGGAGGCGGAGGTTGCAGTGAACCGAGATCATGCACTGTTTTTTTTGTTTGTCTGTTTTGAGACGGAGTTTCGCTGTTGTTACCCAGGCTGGAGAGCAGCGGTGCAGTCTTGGCTCACTGCAGCCTCCACTTCCCAGGTTCAAATGCTTCTCCTGCCTCATCCTCCCGAGTAGCTGGGATTTCAGGCACCACCACGCCTGGCTAATTTTTTTGTATTTTTAGTAGAGACAGGATTTCACCATGTTGGCCAGGCTGATCTCAAACTCCCGACCTCAGGTGATCCACCCGCCTTGGCTTCCCGAAGTGCTAGGATTACAGGCGTGAGCCACCGCGCCTGGCCCACGATCATAGCTGATCTTCCTCCATATCTGGGTCTGAAGATGCTTTGTTGATATCTCTCAAATCTTGGAGTCCAGATTAGAGTGAGCCTTCTGGCAGGAAACACAAGATGACTTTCACCTCCTTCTTTGTCTAGGGAGGCTGCTGCCTATTATCGAGCAACAAAGGAATGAACTGGAAGAACCTGCTCAAATGCGAATTCTCAAGCTCTGTAGTCAGAGATTCTGACTAAGTAGGTCTGGAATGAATCTGGAAGTGTGTTTCTCACCAGTAATCCCTGGTAGTTAAACAATATATATTCCTTGCACTATATTCTGTTTTGTTGTTGTTTTGGAGACAGGGTCTCACTCTGTCACCCAGGCTGGAGTGCAGTGGCACCATCTCAGCTCACCGTAGCCTCAACCTCCCAGGCTCAAGTGATTCTCTTGTCTAAGCCTCCTGAGAAGCTGGGAAATATAGGCGCTCACCACCAAGCCTGACTACTTTTTAAATCTTTTATTTGTAGTGATGGGCTTTTGCCATGTTCCCTAAACTGGCCTCAAACTCTTGAGCTCAAGCAATCCTCCTACCTCAGCTTCCCAAAGTGCTGGGATTACAGGCGTGTGCCACCGTGCCCGGCCCTTGAACTATATTCTAAGAAGCATTCTAGGCTGGGCACAGTGGCTCAAGCTTGTAATCCCAGCACTTTGGGAGGCCAAGGCAGGCAGATCACGAGGTCAAGAGATCGAGATTATTCTGGCTAACATGGTGAAAATCCATCTCTACTAAAAATACAAAAATTAGCTGGGCGTGGTGGCATGTGCCTGTAGTTCCAGCTACTCGGGAGGCTGAGGCAGGAGAATTGCTTGAGCCCGAGACTCAGAGGTTGCAGTGAGCTGAGATCGCACCACTGCACTCCAACCTGGTGACAGAGCAAGACTCCATCTTAACAAAAAAAAGCAGCAGCATTCTAGACTCCATAATTCAGAGCAACACTGTCTGTGAGCACTGCAAATATGACTAATGTGAGCCAGGGACTGAATTTTACATATTATTGAATTTTAATGAACAGAAATCTAAATAGTTACATGTGATCATTAGCTACAGTACTGGGCAGTGCAATTCTAGATTTCATATTTCTAGTTTCTGCAGCCTCTGAACAACTGGGCTCTTTTGGCTACCATCTCAACACCTTTCTTTTTTTTTTTTTGACGGAGTTTTGCTCTTATTGCCCAGTCTAGAGTGTAATGGCACAGTCTTGGTTCACTACAACCTCTGTCTCCTAGGTTCAAGTGATTCTCCTGCCTCAGCCTCCCAAGTAACTGGGATTACAGGCGCATGCCATTAGGCCTGGCTAATTTTTGTATTTTTATTAGAGATGGGGTTTCACCACGTTGGCCAGGCTGGTCTAAAACTCCTGACCTCAGGTGATCCACCTGCCTTGGCCTCCCAAAGTGCTAGGATTACAGGTGTGAGCCACCACGTCGATCCAATTTATTTTTAAGAGATTAGGTCTTGCTATGTTGCGCAGGCTGGTCCGGGAGTCCTGGGCTCAAGCAATCCTCCTGCTTCAGCCTCCCAGGTAGCTGGGACTACAGGTGCACACTACTGAGCCCAGCTACAAAAATTCTTAATTCCTACTACCACTACTCTTATTAATGATAGTGTAACTTTCACATATTTCTTCCTAAGTTTTGGAATATTTCTTTCTTTTTTTGAGATGGAGTTTTGGTCTTGTTTCCCAGGCTGCAGTGCAATGGCACAATCTTGGCTCACCGAAACCTCCGTCTCCCGGGTTTGAGCAATTCTCCTACCTCAGCCTCCCAAGTAGCTGGGATTACAGGAATGTGTCACCATGCCCAGCTAACTTTGTATTTTTAGTAGACAGAGGGTTTCTCCATGTTGATCAGTCTGGTCTCAAACTCCCAACCTCAGGTGATCCACCTGCCTTGGCCTCCCTAAGTGTTGGGATTACAGGTTTGAGCCACTGTGCCTGGCTGGAATATTTCTTTTAATAATACCAAGATTAGACTCAGCTGGAAATGACAATAAATACAATATATTAATGACTTAAATGAGAGATAAATTGATGATTAGTGAGTTAAATGAGAGAAAAGGACAAACGCCCACCTCACCAGTCCTGTATAGGTTCCTATCTATCCATCCTTCCACCCATTTAAATAGTTTACTGAGTTTCCTATGAACAAGGCATTCTCTCTCTTTTTTTTTTTGAGATGGAGTCTTGCTCTGTTGTCCAGGCTGGAGTGCAACGGCGAGATCTCAGCTCCTGGGTTCAAGCAATTCTCCTGTCTCAGCCTCCTGAGTAGCCCGCAACTACAGGCATGTGCCACCATGTCCAGCTAATTCTTGTATTTTTAGTAGAGACAGGGTTTCACTATGTTGGCCAGGCTGGTTTTGAACGCTTAACCTCAGGTGATCCACCTGCCTCAACCTCCCAAAGTGCTGGGATTACAGGTGTGAGCCACTGCACCTGGCCAGAACAAGGCATTCTCTAAACATAACCTCAGTAAAATGATGAAAAGCAGGAAATCGGGAAACCTAATCAGATTTCACCCATCGTTACATCACTGACCTTGACGGCAAAAGAAAATCCAAGATCACTTGTTGCTTCCAATTGTCTTTTCACTAAGATCAATTTCTGAGCCTTTTTGTCTTTTGTGACCTTGATGTTTTCACAAAGTGAGGTCAGTTATTAGGCAGAATGTCTTTCAACTTGGGTTTGTCTGCTGTTTCCTTATCATTAGATTCAGTTTGTGCCTTTTTGGCAAGAAGACCCCAGCCTGCCACCAATTGGACCCATCACTGGTGATGTTAATTTTGACCACTTGGCGAAAGTGGTCTCTGCCAGGTGTCTGCTATAAAGTTATTGCTTTCCGGTTTGTGGGAGGTATGTGGAGACTCTGTAAATGTCCTGTTACTCATCAGACTTTCACTCTTTCAGCATCTATTCCTGCCTGAATAGATTATTACTCAATAGAATTTTTCTTTTTTTTTTTAAGACAGTGCCTCACTCTGTCGCTGAAGCTAGAGTGCAGTGTTGTGATCACAGCTCACTGCAGCCTCGACCTCCCAGGCCCAAGTGATTCTCCTGCCTCAGCCTCTCAAGTAGCTGGGGCTACAGGGACAAGCCAGTATGCCTGGCTAATTTTTGTAAAGAAAGGTTTCTCGGGGCTCTGCCTGTGACATACAGTCCCTTTCCACAACGTTGGAGATGAAGCTGGGCCTCGTGTCTGCACCTGCATGTTCCCCCAGCTTCCCAGAGTCCTGTGGACAATGACTGGGGAGACAAACCATGCAGGAAACATGTCTAGGGGAAAAAAATAATAACAATAAATAAATAAATGAAAGGTTTTGCCATGTTACCTAGGCTGGTCTCCAACTCTTGGGCTCAAGCAATCCACGCACCTTGGCCTTCCAAAATTCTGGGATTACAGGTGTCAGCCACCACACCCAGGCAGCCTCACCGGATATTTGGAAGCAAATCTGAGACCTCAAATCATTTCATTTGTAAATACTCCATTTTTTTTTTAATTTCTAAAAGGTAGCAACACTTAAAAAAAAAAACAACTATACAATATCTTTTTTAGTCAGGGCGTGGTGGCTCACTCCATAATGCCAGCAGTTTGAGCGGCTGAGGCAGGCAAATAGCTTGAGCACAGAGGTTGGAGACCAACCTGGGCAACATGGTGAAACCCTGTGTCTCCAAAAAAAAAAAAAAAAAGCTGGGCATGCTGGGGGTGGTGGCATGTGCCTGTAGTCCCAGCTACTCAGGAGGCTGAGGGGGGAGGATTGCTTGAGCCCAGGACTCGGAGGTTGCAGTGAGCTGAGATTGTGTCCCTGCACTCCAGCCTGGGTGACAGACTGAGACCCTCATCCAAAAAGCAAAACAAAACAAAAACCAAAAAACCTTTTTGTAGAACCAAGGTCATACTACATTGCTTAGGCTGGTCTGGAACTCCTGGGCTCAAGTGATCCTCCTGCCTCAGCCTCTGAAAGTGCTAGGATTACAGGTGTGAGCCACTGCACCTGGCCTGTCTTTCCATTTTACTGATAACTAAGAATGATCCATCCGGGGGTTCAGATGCCATCTGCCTGACCCTGCCTTTGTAAATTCCCCATTTGGCATTTCCCTAAGGGTTTGATCCACCATGGATAACCATTGCCTGGACCCATGGTTTCATTAGCAGTCTTCAAAGGGTTTCTGGCTGGGCGTGGTGCGGTCCACATCTATAATCCCACCGCTCTGGGAGGCTGAATCGGGAAGATCTCTGGAGCCCAGGAATTCGAGACTAGCCTGGGTGACACTGTGAGACACCCCCAGCTCTACAAAAAAAATAAAAAATTAGTTGGGTGTGGTATCATGCACCTATAGTCCCAGCTACTTGGGAGGCTGAAGCAGGAGGATCGCTTGAACCCAGGAGTTGGAGGATGCAGTGAGCTCTGACGGCACCACTGCACTCCAGCCTGGGCCACAGAGTGAGACTGCCTCTCTAAAAACAAACTAACAAAAACCTACAAATGGTTTCTAAACCACTCTCCATCCTCACATCTAGCCATTTGTTCCTATTTGTCTACAAAGCTGACATACTTCTCAAAATTCAGACACCCGGTACCACCGTCTTCCCCACTTTTTTGGACAGATTTACCTATTCCCGGATAAGATGTTCAAAAAACCCAATACCACCTCCTTTCCTTGAATGTCTTATCCAGGAATAGTCAAATCTGTCCAAAAAACAAAGGAAAATGAAGTGAGTCGGATGTGATTCATTTTTGTCGGCAATGGTGGTGGCGTAACCGTTAAAAGTGCATACTATCAAGTTGGGAAAAGCAGATTTGAATCTTACATCCAACATTCAGCAAGCCATGTAGACTTCAGGCATGGCACATGACAACCGTCAGCTGGCTTCCTCATGTGTAAAATGAGTATGTTATTTTTTTTTCAGGTGGGGATGGAGTCTTGACTCTGTCTCCCAGGCTGGAGAGCAGTAGCACAATCTTGGCTCACAGAAACCTCTGCCTCCCAGATTCAAGCGATTCTGCAGCCTCAGCCTCCCAAGTAGCTGGGATTGTAGGCACCTGCCACCACGCCCAGCTAATTTTTGTATTTTTAGTAGAGACAGGGTTTCATTATGTAGCCAGGCTGGTCTCAAACTCCTGAGTTCAAATGATCCACCTGACTCGGCCTCCCAAAGTGCTAGGATTACAGGTGTGAGCCACTGCACCCAGCTCATTACTTTTAATAGCAAAGACTGCAATTACCTTGGCTTGGCACCAGCTAACAATCTCCAAGTTGCCGATTGCTTTTGGAGAATCAGCTGTGGGTGATTGGTGGTCTTTTCCGGGACGGAGCCTCCTCACCTGAGATCCCTCTGGCTGAATTTAAGGCCAGGGCAGGCTTAGCATTTTTTCCTGCTCACTGTGGTGGTGTAGAGAGGGAAACTTTCTCTGCGATTCAGGAGCAGACGCTGAGTGTTTTCACATCGTTCTTCAGAAGGTGGGCGAGTCTCTGGGCCGTGACTGGCATTTTTCTCTAGGGCTTGTGGCTGTCATGGACAGTGGCCATGTCAATGCCCCCCCATCCCCAGCAGGCTGTAGGGGGCTGGGAAGAACTGAGGGAGGAAAGCAGGGTGTAAGTTTCCTGGAAAGAAGGAAGGAAGGAGGCCCAATTTTGAAGTGGGTGAGAGAAGTGAAGATAAGTGCCTTGGCAATTTCTATAAACAGAATTACCCAGTATGTATTCTCCTATGACTGGTTTCTTTAAGGCAGTGTAATGTTTTTGAAATTCATCTTCTTTTTCTGACATAGGGTCTTGCTCTATTGTCCAGGCTGGAGTACAGTGGCATAATCATAGCTCACTACAGCCTTGACCTCCATGGCTCAAGCAACCCTCCCACCTCAGCTTCCCAAGTATCTGAGACCTCAGGTGTGTGCCTCCATGCCCAGGTGGCCTAAATTTTTATGTTTATTTCTTGCTGGGCATAGTGGCTCATGTCTGTAATCTCAACACTTTGGGATGACAAAAAAAAAAAATTAGCTGTTTGTGGTGGTACATGCCTGTAGTCTCAGCTATTACTTGGGAACATGAGACAAGGGGATTGCTTGAGCCTGGGAGGTTGAGGCTGCAATGAGCTGTGATCACGCCACACACAGCAGCCTGGGTGACAGACAAAGACCCTATCTCTAAAAAAAGTCTATGGACTGGGCATGATGGCTCACACCTATAATCCCAGCACTTTGGGAAGCCGAGGTGGGTGGATCACTTGAGGTAAGGAGTTTGAAACCAGCTTGGCCAACATGGTGAAACCCAGTCTTTACTAAAAATACAAAATTAGCCAGGCGTGGTGGTGCATGCCTGTAACTCCAGCTAGTTGGGAGGCTGAGGCTGGAGAATCGCTTGAACCCAGGAGGCGGAGGTTTCGGTGAGCCAAGATCGCACCATTGCACTCCAGCCTGGGCAACAAAAGAGAAACTCTGTCTCAAAAAAGAAAAAGAAAAAGAAAGTCTATGGCCCCTATGTTTGTATCGCATGTGAGTAGGTAACTATTCTATTACTGTGTTTTCAGCTTTCAGCTATGGTGAGTAAACTGCTGTGAACATTTCTTGTTCATGTTACTTGGTAAATATATGCACTCATTCCAGGCATGGGATGGGTGGGTCCCGTGCCTCAGTAAAATTAGCTTTAATAAATGTTGACTAATCATTTTCCAAAGAGGCTATACCATTTGAGACTTCCTCCAGCAACGTAGACTTCTGGTTTTGCCAACACTTGAAAAAATGTTTTTTCATTGGTGCGTGTGCGTGTGATACTGCATTGAGGTTTTAGATTGTATTTCCCTAATGAGCAGCTTCCCATGTTAGCATTGGCCATCTGGGCTGCTTTTGTGAAGTGCCTGTTTAGCTCTTTTAGCCACTTAGTAAAAAATCGATTGTCTTATTAAATTGAAAGAGTTCTCTCTTTTTTTTTTTTGAGATGGAGTTTCGCTCTTGTTACCCAGGCTGGAGTGCAATGGCACGATCTCGGCTCACCACAACCTCCGCCTCCTAGGTTCAGGCAATTCTCCTGCCTCAGCCTCCCAAGTAGCTGGGATTACAGGCACCTGCCACTATGCTTGGCTAATTTTTGTATTTTTAGTAGAGATGGGGTTTCACCCTGTTGACCAGGATGGTCTCGATCTCTTGACCTCGTGATCCACCTGCCTTGGCCTCCCAAAATGCTGGGATCACAGGTGTGAGCCACCGTGCCCAGCCCATGGCTTTCTTTTTAATTGCACCTTTTGATGAGCCAAAACTCATTTTCAGCTGGGTGCAGTAGCTCACACCTGTAATCTCAACAGTTTGGGAGGCCAAGGTGGAAGGGTCACTTGAGGCCAGGAGGTCAAGACCAGCCTGGGCAACGTAATGAGACCCTGTGTTGACAAAAAAAAAAAAGGTGGGCATGGGTGGTGCATGCTTATAGCCCCAGCTACTCTGGAGGCTGAGGTGGGGAGATCACTTGAGCCCAGGAGTTCAAGACTGCAGTAAGCTGTGACTGCAACACTACACTCCAGCCTGGGAGAGTGAGCCCCTCTCTCAAAAACAACAAAAACCAAAGACTTGTTTTCTTTTTTAACTAGACGGGTGGGTGGGGACAGCAGCAGGGTGGGCTGGTGGAGGTGGCCTTTCTTTTCTTTCTTTTTTTTTATCAGAACTCATTTTTGTAGAGTCCGGTATATTTTTCTTTATGACTGATGTGCTTTGTGTCCTATTAAACACTTTACTGTCCACATGTCACACAGTTATTCTATGTTTTATTTCAAAAGCTTTCTTGGGCCGGGCGCGGTGGCTCACGCCTGTAATCCCAGCACTTTGGGAGGCCGAGGCGGGTGGATCACGAGGTCAAGAGATCGAGACCATCCTGGTCAACAAGGTGAAACCCCGTCTCTACTAAAAATACAAAAATTAGCTGGGCACGGTGGCACGTGCCTGTAATCCCAGTTACTCGGGAGGCTGAGGCAGGAGAATTGCTTGAACCCAGGAGGCGGAGGTTGTGGTGAGCCGAGATCGTGCCATTGGACTCCAGTCTGAGTAACAAGAGTGAAACTTCGTCTCAAAAAAAAAAAAAAAAGCTTTCTTGACTCTGCTTTCTTATTAAGATAAGCAACTTGTGTGTTTTGTTTTGAGACAGGGTCTCGCCCAGGTAGGAGCACAGTGGTATGATCACATTCAATGTAGCTTCAACCTCTTTGGGCTCAAGTGATCCTCCCACCTCAGCCTCCAGAGTAGCTGGGACTAGAGGCACCTGCCACCATGTCCAGCTAATTTTTTTTT